CTTTTATTCTTTCTATAATATTTTAAAAGCAAAATTGTACTTTATGTAAAATCTCAATTAAATATTCAATAAAGATAAAAGCATGGCCTTAGCATTAATATTAAAAAAAAAAAAAAACAGTAACAAAAAAATTATTGAAAAAAACTAGTAGTAGCAAATAGCTTAGTAGTATTAATAAAAATTTTGTACTATGTATTGCATAAATAAATGATTATAATTATTTTAAAGACAATAAATATCCTAAATACTTAAAAAAACTGCAATTTTAATACTTTCTGACTATAATAAATAATGTTTATTGAGTTATTTAAAATAGATAAAATAACTAATTTGGTTCTATATTAATAGTCACAATTAATAATCTTATAGAAGGCGGCACAAATTAATGAAATCATAGAAAGATTATTGTTAAGGTGTCTAATCTTATGCATTTTCAGGAATTTTTCATTGTTCAAGCAACGAAAAATCACACAAAAAATGAATAAATCTAAATATCCGAAGAAAATTACATGATAGATAAAAATTTATTAAATTTTAGCTATTATATATCTTTAGTACAAAAGCTTATTGTTTGTTTAGTCTTTATTTAACAATATCAAAATGCTTTTGTATGATTATCAGTATTAAAATTTTTAAATTGTACATATATAATAAAATATTAATTTTATTATATTTAAATAGTCAAAATCTATTTGCATAAAGTTGGTTCCTTTAAAAAGTAATAAATAGTACGTGTTTCTACTGTAATTGTAGAAAACATTACATTTTTCAAAATGCTTTAAAGTATATAAATAAATTGTGAACATGCGACTAAAGTCTAATATATATAGTAATCTGATTAATTAATAATCTGATACGTAAGCATAACGGTTTTAAGGGAAGAAATGATAAAGATGTTCTTATTGTAATAAATGTTCTTGGCGAATAAAATCATTGATATGCTATAATCGTTATGTATAGTGATGGTAGTATCTGAGTGACACACCAGTTACCAAAAAATAAGTTGCTAAATAGAATTAGATCTAAACTACCATAAAGCTACACAACACCTAACAATAGTCAAACACGAACTGTTCTTTCAAACTAATACTTATTTATAAACAATATTTTATTATTCTGTATATTCTGACATGTATAATAAAATTGATTGCTACCGTATTTTTTAGTAAAACCTAAATAAATACCCAAACATAATTGCAAAATGGAGTCTTTGATCAAATTTGTAAATCAAACTCATATGTATAATTTTCAGAATGTCTTCAGATTATTATATGATCATGTGTGCACATTTTAATTTAACTCAAAGTAATTGTACATAATCATGTCATCGAACCATAATCAGGTACTGATATGTTATATTAATGCTTCGCAAAATCAAATCAAAGGTTGAGTTTCAAATCTATATTTGATCCATCACATATTCTTGTTTAATGACTGTTCATTAAGTAAGAAAACTTGATCAAATTTGATTTAATCAAACATCTGATTTAAAACTTGATTTTTTTGATTTGATTTTGTGAATACTAGTTATTATATACAGAATTTTGATCAAAAACTCTCTCCATTTGTGAATTGTAACAAAATTTTACTAATACAGTTAAAAAATAGAATCTTTTCTGTTCAGTACTATAATCTCTGAAGATTATATACATGCCTGAATATTATGCGTACTCCTATTTGTCTTTCTTTCAAATATCCATGTAGCTAAATTTCCTTAAAAAAATAAACTATTTTCTTTGAAGAAATCTGTGATCAATATATTTATTACTTGTAAACTTTGGATAACCTTTATTTATTCACATTATATAATAAACTTTACCTAAAAAGTCTTTTAACAATCACTTAAAGGATGCTTATTTTAATTTAGCCCAGCAATTATTGTAATTAAATTTGACTTAAATAATGTTATTCTTCAAATTTGCTAGAGTTCAATAAACTCAAATCAGGCACTTATTCCCTATAAAAGAAATACTTTAAAGTTCCCAAGTTTTATAGTCTATTTGCAATAAGTGTCATGCTTTGAATGTAATACATTAATTATAAATAATAATATACAAATAAACCTAAATTGTATACTGCTATTTATTTGGCTTTCTTTCCTGAAGTCGTCTTAATTTTCCGCTTTTTAACCGCTTTAGGTATTTTATGCTTGCGTTTCTCTCTTGCTTCTTCCTTAGCTATTTTCTTTCGTTCCTTTAATCAAAGAAAAAAGAAAATTTGGCTATCAATTTTCGAACCTTTTTCATCTAATAACAAATAATTATACAAACTTTTTTGGCATCTTTATCTTCATTCCTCTTCCCTCTAGATTGTTTCTTAAATGCCAACTCATCGTCAGTTGAACATTGCTCATTATCATCAGATTCACTATCCCCTGAATAATTGTTATCTTCACCCTCAGATTCCCTCTGGTCATTTAATTCTCGCTCAATATCTTTTGAAACAGTTACAGTTTGATTTTCACTTTCTGTCTTACTTTGATCATTTGATTTTTGATTTTTGTCATCAATTGAAAGTCCTGTAAGCTTTCGATAAATCAACTAATAGCCAAATAGTCGAAATAGTCAAACATTTAATATTTGATGAGCTATGTTAATAGCTAATTGCTTACTAAGAACAAACTAAGCATAAATTCAAATACAGTATTTACATTCTCGCCTTCACCTTGGGCTACTTTCATTACATCCCTTTCGACATCTATAACATCATCTAATTTTCTTGGAATAAAAGATCGTTTAAAAACTTCTTCGTCAACGATGTCTCTTTGTAGCTGTTCTTGTTGTTCATCAGTTAGCGCTTCACTTGGTTGTTGTAAAGTTAATCGTTCCTGAATCTATATGTCATACATGTTAAACATAAAAACTTGCGCATCCAAAACTACACTACTGATATTCACCTTCTCTAATTCTGCCTCAACCTTTTCATCTTCCATGCCAATGTTAATATCGGTAATAAAATCGAACAATTCCTTGACACTCATTACTCTTACACCCTTTTTTTTAAAATAGTCTGTAACATTTGTACAATCCTTTCTCAAAAATTCAAGGGCATGAGGATGATCATGCTCTACTGATTGTGAAACATCAATTATATATAGTGTTCGAGCATTATATCTATAGATGAATAATTAATCATAATAAATTTATATTTTTAAATTTTATATTAAGAGTAAAATAAATGTGCATACAAAAGATTGTATTCACTCAGATCAGCATGGACTAGGCGACATGTATGATACATGGTCCGCATATTCTTGACAAGCTGATAATACAATTCCGGATATTTATCATAACTAATAACCGCATCCTTCAATGTAGGAAATGCCCTTATTGAAAAAGGTTAATTAGAGTTTTAACAAATAAATTATCAATAAATCTATTGAGTTTTTTTCATACCACCCATTCTTATCACCTAAAAAGCCCATAACCAAAACATGTAATCTCAAAACAAGAGGTTCAGGACAAGGTATTCCTGATTGCCATAATCTTTTCAAATTTCTCATTTCTTTTTCTGCCCATAATTTGACCATTTTACGAGGATTATGTTTGCTATATCCATGTCTAAATCGGAATTCACCAGTAACATAACGATCTCGATCCTTAAAAGTAAGAATTGAGGTTTTGTAAACTTTTATTGCTCTATGATCACTACCTTCCGTAGTTGCATGATATACGTTAGCCTATATTATGAAAAATATTTCATCATATGCATCAGATAAAATATATATATATGACATAACAAATATTTATCATATCTATTAATAGCTAACTAATAACCTCTTTCCCAGTACTGACGCATCCATTTATTTCGTAAATAATATTACGATTTATCATCTTAAAAAGAATTATTCTTGTACGTGGGTCTAAAACTTGTTCTGTTGTTGCACGATCTGATTTATCACTGTATCTTTGTCTAAGAAATTAAAAAAAAAGAAAATTGTTCAGATTATATGAATCAAAACAAAAAAATGTTTTTTGCCTTGAGTCAGATGTATCAAAAGGATTACTTACTTATTACCTTGAGCTTTTTTATCGCTCATTTTAATATCATTAACAACCGAGGTCGATAGATGGACAGGGGAAATTTCCCCTTTGATGATAAATTTTATAAATAAAAAAAAATTAGAAATATTGTGTGATAAAATTGAAATAAAATTTGAGAGACTTACCAAGATTAATTCTATTAGCATATTTACTCAAAGACTTCATATAATCATGAGACTTCATCTCTGTAAATTTTTTTTTGTTATCTGCTTGCTTTGATATCGTTCCGCCTGTATTTTGATTTTTTACGGGTGTTGCAATAGTAATTTTTTGTGAAGTAGATCCAGGCATGATACTAGGCTGCAGTTGTTGCCTTAGGCGATTATACTGTTTAGTGAAATCTAAAAAGCAAAGTTTATGATAAATTACGTATTAAAGAAAAAGATATTTTAATAAACTAAGATTATACCTCCACTCGGATTTTCCCATTCTTCGTTATCATTTAATTCATCAAAATAATCATCCTCATCTTCATCCTCTTCAAACGAAAAATCATTTCCTAAATCATTTCCTAAATCATTTCCTAAATCATTTAATGTAGTATCATTTTCCAAATCTTGCCCATGCTTACTAAATGCACACTGTTCAGGAGGAATATCCTCACAGGCATCATCAAATTGACCCGGTTCGTATGTTGAAACATAAACTGGTTTATCTAACATTTTTGAGCGACAAAATTTTAGATCGATAAAAATAAGTTCTTTTTAATTCAGTCAGGGATTTTGGAATTGTAGATCGTCCCCTTTTTTGATAAAAGATCTGCAATTGGAAAATTCTTTTTAGTTCCATAGTACAAATTCTGTACCAATCATTGGCCGGGGTATCATAGGCAGAAGTTTGTCTGATTGGCTAATAAATTCAATTTAATTTTACATTATTTATACAGTTTAGAGTACTT